AGGTGGAGTAAGATTTTAAGCGTACGTGAGTTGAGTTGAGGTGAGTTAAGTAAAGTTAAGGGGTTAAGTTAAGATAAGTTATCTCCATCCTTATCTTCATATTCATCTTCATCTTCTTCCTCGTCTTGGTCTTCATCTTCTTCTTCATCTTTATCCTTTCCTTTATCCTGATCTAAATATGTCCATTCTTTTCTTCATTTACATATTCACCCCCACCATTGTTATTAGGTTAGGTATTTAAATTTTCCTTCCTCTTTGTCTTTATATTTAGGTTTCTTTACTTTTATTTTAATTTCTGTATTTATCCCTTTCTTCTTCTCCATACTCAAAATTATCTTCATCCTTGTTTGAGGCTAATCTATTCATGTACATACATACATACATCTTATTCCTAAACTGCTGCTTAGCACGTTTCTTTAATTCACTATCAATATTAAAGCATACATTTAGGAGGCATTTCCGCCTCAACCATGTACATGTTTGGCATTGGTATTGGTGTGACTTTTGAATTGATTTTTTCGCTCTATTTTAAACTTATTTGAAATTTTAAAAATTGCCTGCACATCAGCATCAAAATACCTTTCTAATGATATATAATTGTTTATACCTTAGAGGTACAGTTTAGCCGTAAAAGGGGTGTAAAGGAAACATGATTGCCTATTTATATAATTGATATAGAAATGTTGGTCCCGTTTCTTTAGCTTTAAACGAGTTAAGATGAAGTGAAGAGCAGAACCCGAGATAAAACGATTTGAAGAAGTACATGATTAGTCAGAATCACGAAAATATGCAAACTTTGACAGATCATATCTCCGAAGAAAAAAAGAAAAAAAAATCCTCGTACACGTGTTAGCTTATTTCATGTATGGAACCTACAAAACAAATTTGAAGCAAATCGGAGACATGACATAATTTTTTTTTACGAAATCCGTCCGAATTAAAAAAGAATGGCTCATATATCCTCTTCTCAGATCATATTCGATCTTTGAAATCGAATCAAAAATAGTCATTCAAAAACTCATAAATCTACGAAATCGTATTTTCTGACCTAAATCGACACGTCGCGACCTTTAAAGAATCTACAAAAATAGGCAATAATATTTCTCATAAAAACGAATAAAATTAGGGGGTAGGGTCTTGAAATTTCCAAAAAAAAAAAACCATTTTCGATGGGCACCCTAATGTACATATGTAGATTAGTGGCCCGTCTATCAAACCCAACAATAACATTTTGTAGCCTATACATTTATATAAGCTCGGATCCAATACTTTTCGTGTAAAATCCTGTAAAAATATCAAACTGCAAAATTACTCTCTGAAGTGAGAGTAAAAAGTGAGTAACAATAAAAAGTACGGGAACAAAATAAGCATTTTTCCTGTAAAAACGTCAACGATCGCTTGACACTTTTCATGATTTCACCAGAAGAAAAAGTTCGGGTAAAATCCTGCAACTTCATTCTCTACACAACTCTCCAAAAATCGGTCTCATTTGCAGGATTTTGAAGGAATTTGGAGTACGGGATCAATTTTCCTGTAACTTCCTGCAAGTTCGTGTAAAAACCTGTAAGTTCATTGAGTACTGGATCAGAGCTAGTTATAATTTTTACGCTCGCTATTTTAATTTTCATTTTGCTATACCATGTCGATATAAGTATTACAGTTTATTAAACTCACGGCTGACGGTCTAATGATGCACGTACTTCGTAAGTAACATGCGTAGTATGAGTAGTAAAGCATTCAACAGTATTTGAAAGCTCTGAGGAAGTGAAGTAAAGTATAGCAAAATTAGCAAATGTTTTGAACAGCCTTTCAAAACCATTAATGCACACCTCTAGTATTTATTTTGGGTATAACATAATTACCAGTGCAATGCATTTGGTGGTGTAGGAATACAATTTTTTATTCTCGTTTTTTGGTATTTAATAGAAAATGCTTCTGAAAAATGCCCGTGGTGATAGTTTCAGGAGCATCCGCCAGCTTTAAGTCTTCAAAGTATAGATAGGCGATGATGAGAAATCATCGATTTTGCCATCGGAGATAGATTCTCTATTTTCATCGACCAGCAATCATCGATTGCGCACAATATCGATATCATTTTCAAATAGGTGGTTTTATTGGGAGCGTTCGCGAAATTTGTAGCATTATTTGTTCTCAAGTATTATTTCCTCGAAATTATGTTTATGAATTTCAGATTTGTTTAAAAAAAGTTGTATCAAAAAACTTTCAATCAAAGAAAATATTTTACTACCTTTGCCTATTTTATGAATCACATGCAGGTATACTCCAAAATTAAATAAATAAAATAGACAACTTATTTGAGAAACACTTTAACTGGTTTTATTATTCATGAGCTTTTAATAAACACAGATATATGTATATGTACATATAAACATCAAGTGTAATAATGCAAGAAATCGAAGGTTACGGTTTAAAAGATTGTGTCTTTAAACAACGCAAAAACAATATTTTTAAAGTAATCTCGAGGAGCTAGTTTAAAATGATTAAAAAAAACATTATAAATTCCGATATTCGATATTTTTTGTGAATTGATTGTAAAAAATTTAAACAAAAAACTGGTTAATTACCACGTTTCTATAAATGGACTAAAACGAAGCTAATATTTTGCCCTAGACCCACAGAATTTGTTTCGATAAGTTTTGATTCTAAAATTTTAGCAAACGTTTGCGCAACGGTCTATTTCGATATCCCGAAATCTGATAAGCATACAATTGCATTATATTCCCCAGTATTATTGCTTTTGAGTAATGAGTTATACTGCTTTTCAATGGGAGTTTTCAAATTTATTCCATTCCATTTCCACAGGTGTTTATAGTTTTGAAGCAAAATCATCTTCTTGCTTCTCTGTCACTTATTTTGTCAAAAAAATTGCCTAAATTAGCTCTTTGGTCCAATTGCAAAATCTGCTCCCCTGCTAATAACAATGAGGGATAGCAAACACCTTTGAGATAATAATAAAATCGAGCACAATGCAAACCCTTTATGCAAGTAAGACCCAAAATAAGTTTGTTCCTTTAAGGGCCAGTTTTTCAGTACACGGCTGTGGTTTAAACTTAGTTTAAATGCCCGAGCTGGCTGGTTTAAACAAAGATTAGCCAATCAAATGTCAGCCAGCTGTTCAATTTGAACTCAGTCTACGTGATCTAAGTTTCAACTTCCAATGAAAAACGAGCCCTAAATGCACGCTTAGGTAAATACTAGAGGTGTACATTAATGGTTTTAAAGGGCTTGTGAAAACATTTGCTAATTTTGCTGTACTTCCCTTCACTTCCTCAGAGCTTTCTCTTAGATATTTTTCTTTAACCGAAAGCAACGCGTCTACTGAAATTGGTATAGTTTGGTAAAGCGGTTACTGAGATAAAACGTTTTATCATCAGTAGACAGTGCCACTCCCCTTTACCAACATGCAACATGCCGAGAGGCGACCGCTTTTAGAACAAACTTTTTCCAATCTTAGATGTTGCTCAATGATGTCGAAAAAGTCAAAACAAATCCAAAAAAGGGTATCAAAAATGTCGCACAAAATTTTAAAATGGAAAACTTGTATGTTTTTATTATATCCTAGCAAACCGGAATCGAAAAATTTATACCACAATTTTTATTTTCATTTTGTTCCCCAGTGTGATTATGTATTCTGAAGTGATTTGTTGCTATTTAAGTTTTTAGATTAAAATTTAATATTTATCACAAATAATCAAATGAACTACTATTGTACATATGTACTAAATATGAATGAATATCCATATGCTCAATTACCTCAGTCGCATTCGTTATTAAAAGCGTTAGGATTTTTAGGTAGAATTTGACGCGCTTAGTGGCCTTAAAGCTCATTCAGAATTTAGGTGGATTTGAATACTTTTTAATTTAACGCTATCCGAGTTGTTTTCAACAGACTTTCGCTTGGTTGGCCACTTGTGCGGGTACATATGTACATAAACACATGTACATACATAAATATTTAATGATAGAACCTATGTACCGTTCCTCCCTCTGTACAAGAACCCCACTCAATTATATACTTACATATTTACACACATACTTATAAATGGAAATGTATCAGCACGCCTTTATGGATGGGTATGGCATTCAATCCCGGGATCCCTTCCCTTTTTTTAGACGTCCCGGAATCCCGGGATTACAGCTCCGGGATCACGAGGATTATACTGATTTATTCACAGAGTGAAAGTGATGTTTAAAGCGAAAATACGGGACACCAAGGTTTTGATCGAAAGTGAACTTGAGTAATTTGCATTCAGAAGCGAATTTCAGACCCTGCCTGAATAACAGTACTTTTTCAAAGGTTTTGTGCAAGAATTCGTAATAACGAAAAATCGGGTAGCAATTGAAAATACAAGAAAACTTTGCAGTGTCGCCAATTTACTTTGTTGGCGTGGTTTTTTGGAAATTGAATTTATGCAAATATTTTTTTACAACTAATATAGATATTTAAGAATAGATACTATAAAATTATTTTAACATTAAATTGCAGACTCTCCTTCTAAGGAGCATTATGGTCCGCATAGGACCAAATGTCGGGTCGGCCAAGGACTTGTCACTCCAGCAACACTCCCCAAATCCTCTTTGGGGAATTTGTATGCTGCTACAACAACAAAAACAATGAACTTGTGTGGCTTCATTTTTTGATTTCTGAGAACGGTGAGCAAAATGCAAAAATTGTGAAAAGGTCCAAATCCCGGAAAATCCTGGGAATTTTTGCTTCGGGATTAAATGCCCAACATGAAGATATGTACATATGCATCTGTGTTGTAAGCTTAAATACATATTGTGAATATTTGCATATATAGTACGTATGTATGTACATATGTATATACAAACAGATGTACATTAGACTGATTCAAAAAAAACCGAGTTTTCAAAATCTTTGAAAGTATCAAGAAAAAACATGTTGCCGAAAATTTTAGGGAAATTGGTGGTCGTTTAGGTGTTGCTCAAATTTTACATAATCGCGCACCTGAAATACATCTTCGTCAAAAATATCGTCTATTTACCACAAATATCGAGCTAAATGTCTTAATTTTCGCAAATATTTACCAATGCAAAAGACCATAAAATCAACTAATCTAATCTTTAATTCCAATAAATGTTCACATTAATAAATAATTTATAGTTAACTAGCGAAAATTAATTAGTTGATAACTATTGACCCCAATAACTTTTTGAGCTCAAACTTGAGAAGAACCTTAAGCACACTTTCAGTAACTATAACACAACAACCAAAACATCCGCACTCATAATTTGTTAAAGTTAAACTACTTATTTACCTTCAGGGTTTAGTTGGGTTAAAATCTGTTTCACTTTTTTCTTAGATTCTTACACTTGGTGGAATAGATTTTAATCCAGCTCGCAAAGTGGAATAATGTTTTATGTTATATATTTAATCGAAATAAATGTTAATATATCGATTTTATATCAATTATATAATTTTTTATTGCTATAATCGCTATAACCCATAAAAAGTTATACAATGGATGTTTAAAAACATACTTAAGTCATTTTTTAAAGCTCATAGCAGTCATTTTTAATGACGCGAATGTGTAATTATAGTATCAGTTTATATGTTTGGGTGGTACAGTGACAGAGGGTATGTGGACGACTTTGAAAGAAAAAGTGGAATGGTAATATCAAAAATCAATGCTGAAATAATCAAAAAGAATTTTGTAACAGTAAATAGCTACCAAGTTTTTGTTGTACTTTGCTTTGAAGATGATTCTCTCTTACAACGGAATGTCAGAGAATGGCCAAATAATGATAATTATGTATAAGCAACTGAAGATACTTATTGCAAAAATCATTCCCATATCTTCATAACTGTACTTTTTCTAATATCTTTTAACTTTTTTCGATGCTCGCTAACTGATAAAAATAAAACTTATTGTTTGTTTTTCGTTTCTGGTTAAGAGATTGTCGTACTCTTGGACAAGAGTCACTCCACTTTCTGCAATGCCAAAGAGAAATCTCTTTTGATCGCTTTAATCGTTTTGAACTAACACCTATTGTTCTTTTTTCGGTTTCTCTTCATTTTGATGTGATCGTCCCATCCGGGTTGCTTTGTGTTATTCCCTTCATTGTTTCAAGGTACAGTGGAAGCCATTCCTACACGTAAATTGGAACGATTTTAACCCACCCACATAGCCCTAAAAGATAAAAAAGTTGTTTAACTATAACAAATTATGAGCGCGGCTGTTTTTGCTTTTGTATTACAGTTTCTGAAGGTGTCCTAAAGGTTCTTCTCAAATTTGAGCTCAAAAAGATTTTGGGATCAATAGTTATCAACTACCTAATTTTCGCTAGTTAACCATTAATTATTTATTAACGTGAACAAATTTTTAAATTAAATTTTACATTAGTCGATTTTATGGTCCTTTACAATGGTATGTGCGGGCATTTAGCTCGATATTTGTGGTAAATAGACGATATTTTTGAGGAAGATGGGTTTCAGGTGCACGATTTGGTAAAAATTGAAAATCGCGTTGAACAACCCCTAAACGACCACCGATTTCTCTCACATTTGCAGCAGCATGTTTTTTCTTGACGCTTTCAAAGATTTTGGACCATAGCACATAAATTTCGAATAATCGGGTTTTTTGAATCAGTCTATTGTGCATACATATGTATGTAAGTCCGATGTACATAACCTGTAAGAAAATTCAAAGAAACAAGCATATGTTTGCTCTTGATCGATTTTAAATTTTACAAAGGGATTTACGTATCCACTATGTACATATATATGTGTGTATATTCCCAAAATTTGTTTGTTTATTCTTTTTCACAGAGACCGTAACAATTATAACTTTTATGATTGGCAATTTATACATAATTGTTTTGTTGGCGTATTGGCAATTTATACATAATTTTTTCTCTATTTTTGTCATATGATTAAAAATTAGTTTAGAACTTTCTTTTAAAAATTAGAAACAGTATTAATTTTTTGTTTTTAAATTATAAATTGAAATTTTAAAATCACGCCTGATTTGTTTATATTGGAAATATCAGCTAATTTTGCTTAAAAATGTATAACCAAATCATATGTTGAGGAAAAAATATTTCGTTGATTTATGTAACTAAACTCTTTTCTGAGTGTTAAAGCATAAACAGACGGCAGCGTTAAACCGGATCAACTCGTTAATTCGGAATTATCTCGGGAATTAACTGCAGTTGATCTGGATTAAGTCCGAGTTAGTCCGGATCAACGCTTCCGTCTGTTTAAGCTTTAATGGAAAAAAATCTGAATTAAAAATTAAGTTTTCTAACGTCAAAACCAGTTTTAGAAATTTATTAACTAAAAATTAAAAACGAAAACTATTTCTAAATATTTTTTCATTATAATCAAAAAGCATTGCCCATTTCCAATATGTATTATAAAAATTAAAGTTCAGAGTTTCTTTGATTACTAAATAGTTAAGACAAAACCATGATTTTTGTGATATTCAACACACGCAGTTAGAAACCCAAAAAAGGTGAATTTTCAGAACCTCACACATTGCTTCACTTTAACCAGTAATTTAAGAAGGAAATTTTAGTCTACTTTTGAAAGCGTCTATAGGCGATCTCCAGAAATACTGAAAAAATCCAAAACGATTTATTTAATGCTTTTCTAAAATCTTTTTCATATAAATAAATCCCTCCAATATTTGCCAAAAGAGTAGTAAAGACTGCGTTAAAATTTTGAAATCGAGACCATGATTCTGCCGTTATATAGAAGACTTCTACAGTGCATTCAATTTTAAAGGAAGATCGCCTCCTTAAAACTACAAGGAAAATTTCATTAATAATCGAAAACAAACTTTTTTAATCTTAATCTAATTAACTAAAATTAACTTAATTAATTTAAGTGAAAAGCGAGTACAGTACAGGTTTAAAATGGTCAGCATTGTTTCCCTAATTTTTTACACTGTTTGGAATAAAAAGTTGATTTTCATATGTTCAGCACAACTATTGGCGCAACCGGGAAAACTTAAGCAAAAAACATATAAACTAAGTATTAAGTTTTCAAATAAAACATGTCGTAAAATCTGTTGTAAGGGCTTTTTGCGTTGGTAATGATGATATGTATTTATATAAGTTACGGAAGTTTCCTTTCGACATTTGCTTTCCGCCTATTCCGGCGATAATTCTCCGAGTGTGAAAAAGCTTCTCATAAAATCCATTTGCCGTTTGGAGGCGGGGTATAACTGTAGTTGGCTTCATTTGCGTAACGACATAAGCCCGCACATCACAAAATAGAGGAGAAGCTCGGTCAAACACTTAGCAAAGTTTAAGCGCCAAGTTAGTTTGAAATCAAAATTTGTATGTCTTCTTGTACATTTTCGCAAATAATTTGCAATGTGGGTTCTAATACCTACTTTAGTTAGCTTTTCAGCAATGAAAAATATGAGATGCAATTAAACTGCAACAAGCAATGATGATTCATCTCGATTGTTCCAGTTTGTCCTGCAGGGTTGCATCGAAACAGTCTTCCTTAACTGTCCACACGCGCTCTAACTACGCCTATGTAAATGTTCTCGCGATACTTTACAAGGCCTCACTGGCTGTTACCCTTTCTTTGGAATGTATTTGTATATACATATGTCTCTACGTAGGAATTTACATATATGTTTGAATAGATATATGTTGACATATGTATGGAGCTTTCAGTGTAGTGCATTATTTGTTAAGAGTTTTGTATGGTTGCTATTTTTTAGTTTCTTTTTTTCGTTTGGTTCACAATTTCAATTTATTTTTATGTTTTGTTGCATTACAATTTTTTCTTGTTTTCATTTCTACTTTTTGTATTCATTATAACATTCGCCATATTTGCTTTCCATGCACTCTCACACAGTCCTTCATCGCACCCCTTCCTCCGCGAACGACTGTGCACGGGAATGCAACAGTTATCTCATTGGATCATGCTCTCTCACTCTAACATATCCTTTGCATGTGAGTAGTGGTATGGCTGTCGAAACTAACGTCGTTGCTTCCCCTTCCTGTAGCCGTTTGTCGTTGTATCGCCTCCTCCTTGAGGCAACGCTTCTACTTGGTTTTCCTATTGCTTTCTCAACATGCTATGATTGCTCCCTTTCTGTGAACACTTGCACTCAAGTTGCAGCATATAAGAGAAATCTCACGCACGCGCGCTGTAGCACCATACAGCAAGAAGTGGCGTAAAGAAAACGCCACGAGAGACACACGACGTTGCCATCGCACTGTGAAGCATACTGAAGAGAATCGCAGACAAAAATGTATTCTGAATGAATGGGTCAAAGCGTCATCGAATGAAACCCAAATCAAGTCAACTCCACTGGCTACTCAACATACGTTCTCCACTCCGACTTCAATATAAAGTTATGCTCTACACACAGTTACAAAGCCTATCTGGAAATATGGTTGTAAACAATGGAGCAATACCAGTAGCAGTAACATAGAACTTTACCAAGAGCACAATCTAAGACATCCATAAAGACCTCGACACACCCAACGTGGGAATTGAAATAACCCAACTACAGTTAAAATGTAAAAATAAGCTATCATCGCATCCAAACCAACTTAAAAGATCTCCAACGAACTTATCTAAGAATACTTGACCTTCCCGCCCGTTAACGAGGAGAGTTCCTAGCAGTCAACTCTTTCAGATGATGGGAGACTTAAGTAATTTAGATTAAAGATTCATACACTTGTTGTGGCGTTTTTTTTATCGAAAAAAATTTCACCAACAACAACATTATCAGAGTGCAACATTTTAAAGAAAGAGCACGTAATATGTGAAGGTGCTGAGAAAATAACACGAAAGCTTGACAGCACTGGTGCAGGGCAGAATAAATGCAACGTTATTTCGAGAAAAGAAAACGCTATAGGAAATCGTCTTTGGTCATTTTTGGCAATTTTTTCCCTTCAATTAAATTTTTTGCGCGCTATAATGTAAATGCGTCGAAACACGTGATACGTAGGTTATGGAGTTAGGGCTTTAATTTTGATGTGGCAACACTTTTTATTGTTATCGATTTTATTGTAGCATATCGAACATTTGCCAATATTAAACCATCATTTGTGACAACTCCCGCTGAATGTGAAATTTGCAATTTCATTTGTGGAAATAGCTGATCTCGCCTTATTATAGCTTTTTTTGGGCCGAGCGCTTAAAAGCGGATTTTCCGAATAAGCAATTAATGTGAGTTATACAGGCAAGTTCTGTAATTCACTTTCGAGTGAATTTGAGTCAAATTCGCGTTGAATTCAAATTGGAATCGGAAGTGAATTGCAGAACCTGCCTGATATTAGAATTTATTAGTTGCGCAGTCCTATTGGGAAATGTGTTAATACAAATATTTTTTAAAAGTATGAATATTTTGTTTTTGTTGTCACTATCATATAAGTGATTTGTGTTATTTATTATTACCCTGAAGGCATTATATTCGCTTTTGGTTTTACAAACTATGTTATAACAAGATCTCATTTTTAAAATAAAAATAAAATTAATCCGATTTCATGAATTTTATAAAAAAAACTTTGACGATTTTTGGCGATTTTTTTCAGAAATGGCTCTTTTCTTTTTAAACAATCTAAACGCCCTGATGCGAAAGTATATACATACATACATACATCATTCGACCTCTTTTGCAAGAATGTTTTCCTATCATTTGGATTTTGCATTTGTCACGCATCGAATCTGCTTCTTCCGATGCTAATCATTCGTAAGATGCCATTTATAGTGAATTCTATTTACCCGAGGATAAATTCATCTGACTTCAAACTACTCTGGAAACGATGCTCCCTAATTTTTCACATACCTACCTCATATTGATACCTTGGGCATAAAGGAATTCCTTACGAACTAAAAGGGCTTTTACATATAAATTTAATCTCAACTAAGTCTTGTTTGTTTATCACATTCATACACAACCAAATCTGAGACTTTAGCTGCCAGATTTGTTGTGCTTTTTTTCTTACAACTCAAGGAAAAGTTATGTTTATTTCCTATGCCACTGTGATCACTTTTCTCCTAAATAATTAACATGATACAATAATAGAAGGCAGTTTCATTTATTGACATTCGTTGTTGTTGCCGACCACTTGACTTTTAACAAGTTTATGACATTTAGCTAAAATCATGCTACCAGATTCACTAGCAGCAAATTTTTTTTTTCTTGAAAAAGCAAAAAAAAAATTGAAGTCAGTGAAGTTGGATGAAAACATTAAAGACAATTTTTGCGCGTTTTCAAACTACAAGTATTCGGTACAGCTGTGTTCGAAAATAAAATTTGTTTACTATTCCCAGGATAGAGTACGTAATACAATCTAATGCAGTTTGATGACAAATTGCTGACGCAAAATATTTTTAAACCTCCAAACGATGTACCGTTATCCATGGAAGAGGGTCGAGGTCGAGTTAAAATGATGCCCTGCAACTTGTAACTGTACCAATTTTATATAATTTTTGTTTATAGAAAAATGCATAAGTAAGACAGTTCGGGTACGGTTCGGTTATTTGTAAAATGCTCTTGGGTTATCGTGTCCAGACGCGTGATCCGAATCAAAAAATTTTAACATATACACTAGCCAAAGGATAAAGCTTTATTTTAAAACAAAGATTTCGGTTTGAAATGTGCACTTTTTCATACACCCCTATTGCGAGTGTCTAGTAGTAGGTAAACTACTATTATTCGATTATCGACTTTACATGGTATTGTGAATTTCGATTTTTCGTCCAAAAAGCGACTGTGAATAGTTTTTAGGCGCTCATCCTTCTACAACTGTATGTTTGTAGAAGGATGAGCGCTAAAAAATATTCACACCCTCCTATTGTATGAGAAAACGACATTCAAAATACCATGGATAATCGATAATCGACAAATATTCCTTTATCTACTAATAGTCGACACTCGCAATAGGGGTGGTATTTTTGGAGGTGGATTATGCGCAAAAATACTGTGCATGGCGTAACCGGAGTTGGACTGATAAGGTTATTTTTTCTAGCGCGGCCGAAGGCCACCACCGCGCAAGGGAGTTTTGCGCAAAAATAATGCTGATGGCCTAACACAAGTTTAATTTTTCTTTGCGAAAATGCTTATTTCACCCCATTTTGAAATGGCCCCCGAGTGCCTGTAGAATGGGCAGGGAGGAAAAGGATGGCTTTTCTTAAATATTATACTATGCTCTTTTTAATGAGTCTAGTTTTAGGTGACAAACCCCTTCTCCCTCCGCTCTCCACCAAAACATCATTGTACAAATAACTGAACATTTCCCACGCACAACATTAAATCCTCTGATGTATTGTTTGATTGCTATAAATGTGGCAATGTAGCTCACAATTTTGTACAATTTATGAAACTTCAAAAACTTATTTTTTGTAAAAAATTGTGCAAAGAAACTACCTTCTTTTCGTATCATGATAATTAAGATATTGAAATATATTTTATTTTAATATTTTATCAAAAAGACCTTTACAAACCTCTTTCCTTGATAGCGCCCATTTTAGTTTACTTTCACATTTGAAATGTCACCTTTTCTTCGCGTAAATTATCGATAAAACTTAGTTGGACATCGAAAACTAACCGGTTTAATCTAAGCTTATTTCTTAATTACAGATTAACAAGGAAGGAATTTAGTATGGCTAAAATGTTTTTTTTTTTACAACGCTTTTCTCAACTTGCAGTGTTGTAAGTCCAGACCACCATTTATACTATAAATATAGCAAAGCTATTTATGGCAAATTCTAGATATCAACCTCGTTGTAGGCATCATATCAAAGAGATACAATTAGAAGACTCTAGATATCGCCCCGCTAGAAGAAGTTAAATATTGCGCCTAAATATATGCACTATTTACATACGCTACAGCGGAAATGGACGACACACCATTTCTTTAAATCAAATTAACTGCTGCTATATGGATGCATGTACATATGTATGTTTATTCTAAACGTGAGCAAACAATATTTTGCTTGCATAGTCTTATGTTCTCTTTTCACTGCTTGTTGAATTATTTTAATATCTATTGCAAAATTTTATACAGACAAGACTAAAAAGTAGAAAATAAATAAAATAAAAAAATAATTCGCAGTCCCATAGAATTTCTTGTAATAACGTTTGATTTTGAAATTTTAGCAAAAGTCATTATAAACCATTTATGAGATTAAAAATGAAAAGCGTGGGGCGCATGTAATAGACCTGAATTGATATGAAGGTGAATAACGACCGCTTAAAATCGATCTCAAATTTGTACTTTCTCTGTAGAAATTTTAGGTCTATGTTATGTAGTTTGTCCATAAAATCTAATGCTTTGCTTGCATGCACTCCACGTTTTTCGTTTTCAATCTCATAAATGGTTTATAATGGGTTTTGCTCAAATTTCTAAATCGAAAGTTATCAAAACAAATTCTATGGGAGTGAGAAATATTATTTTCTAATTTTTATTCCATTTCTAAAAGCGTTGTATATTAAAAAGTTTTTTTTTTATTTATTTTTAATTACATATTAGCGAGTTAAGCTAATCGCGAGCTAAGGATAATCTCTACATATGTATGTAAACGTACTTTGGTTAAATTTAATTTTTTTAGTCAATAGCAGTGTTGCCACTATTAGTCTTTTCTGGCCAAATTTGGTCGCTTCTTTTTCATTTGGTAGGTTGGCAGGCAAAGTAAGATTTTGGTCGGATAGTTGAATTAAGTTTTTAAATCCGTAATTATAGAAATATATATTTTAAACATCATTTAGCATATAAATATTTGCCAATTGGACCTTTTAAACATTTGTCAATCCTGCCTTTATGTTATGGCTGGAGACTTGGACGGGCTGGAAACATTATTGAGTGCAGAAACCGATTTATTATATATAAAGTGCACATGCTACTCACTTCATCTTTGCTCAAGCTAGCTCAAGCTGCCAAAATTTTTTTAGTTTTACTTTTATTTCAACATATTTTGATTAAAAGAAAAATACTGATAAAAATACAATTTTTCATAAAAACAGGGTTGAAATCTTGAAATTCCAGCCCGTATTTTGTTTGTAAGTCAAATATGAGTGGCATTGTGCTACTGTGATAGCACGGCGGAGTAATCATAGCCAACTGTACAGTAGTCGAAAAAATTATAGCCGCACCAAATTTTGGCAAGTTTTAAAATATTATTTTTGTTGTTATTTAATTTCGGTTAGTTTTTTATAGTTCGTTCTTTACCAACATCCATATAAATACAAGTTTAAAGGCAGTGTCACACGATTGGGTATTTGCCAAAATTTTGATTACAAAAATAAAATTATCCCTTTTTTTTACCAATAGCCCAATATAAAAATTTACAAATCTGTACAAATGTACCAATCGAGTGACACTGACTTAAAAATTCATGCAATTAAAAAAAATCTACAAATTTTCGTTAAACTTTCGAGTTTGTTAATTAAATTCTGAGTGTGCAGTTTGGTAGCCCATTGAATTCTAGTAGTATAAAGTACAAGTTTCAAATGGCTAAAAATGTCGATCGATTTTTTAGGATTTTTGAAAGTTCGAAGTTTGTACGAAAGTTTGTTGAATTTTTTTTTTATATTGCACAAATGAGTAGTCCACTTGCAAAACAGGGTTATGTGATTTTATAATAGTAAGCCATAAATTAAAAAAACAACTACAACAGCAAGTAACATCCAAATTGTTTACCTGAAAATTTGGATAAACAAGAGCCTAATAACATTAAAAAACACTATCGCAGTGTGGTAGTTTTTGCATATTTTATATTTAAAAATTGAATATAGCGAGTTTTGAAATAGTAACTTTTACATAGCTATCTTTTTTTAGCTTTTCGCGTTCGCTCTTCCATGAAGATTGGTCTGCTTCTTTTTTACGACGCCTTCCACTAGGCACCGAAACTACCACGTTTTCTTGCAGTTTTCTAAGTTCATCAGAAGATGGAGACTTTTGAAAATGTATAAATACATACATAAGTATTATAGCGATTTTTGCAATAGTAGTTAACATTTGATGCTATTTTTTTAGAAAATAGAAAGATTTTGCACTGTATTGTTAGTGGACATGAAACTACTTTAAATACTGGTACGTTACTCACCAAAAACTTAAAATCTAAAAAAATTTACATAGCGACTTTGCAAGTGGACTACTCTAATTTGGAAACATGGATTTCCACAGGTTTTGTTAAAGAATGAACTATATTTTTATATAAAAAAATAACGAAAGTTCAATAACAACTAATATAATACGTTAAAACTTGACAAAAAGCGATTCGGTTATAATTTTTTGAC